GGGGGGGGGGGGGGGGGGGAGTACCCGGGGTTGTGCGTACGCATGTACGATATATGCACCGAGCAGCTTTGGCCGGAAGAAGCCGGTCGGTCACGTGCGAGTGACTAAAAAAGGGGAGACTGCCGCGTGCACGGCTGTAGATATATCGTAATAAACGTAGGTAGGTATATGTAATAATATTATTCGCATTGAGTAGATATTCTATAAAATATATACGATGCATATGCACTGCAGTATAGGTATATGGATTTCCATTGACATTTCGAACACGTCCATATAGGCTGCAATGCACATTTGTTTTGCTCATAATATTATTGCTATCCAAACCGTTCTTTCGCAATTTTATTCTTTACGGCGATATTAATTTATACACACACCGACGCGGAATACACACAAGCATGCGATGTTCTACGACGTGAGCATTTCGATTCGACAATCATCGATGTTGATGTTTCCCGCACCTTCCACGTCATATTATTTTAATGCAGACGAACGAAGACAAGATTTATTACACGTTTATATTCAATGTGTACATAATAAAATACAAAAATATATTTATAATACTTGCTGCAAGTCATAATATTGTATCTATAATCTACTTATTACGTAGTTCCAAATAGATGTATCGTGACGAATAAACATGGTATGAGTCAACGCTGAAACACATTCGTATTTTATTATGAGAAACTTTAACGCTCTGTTCCATTTACGATCCAAGTATCTTATTTTACACCTACAATAAGGGTAGGTTTATAAACTTAAAAAAAAACAATATTCATCAACTATTATTCTCATAGCTTATAAAATATATTCATAACTCGATTTAAAAAAAAAACACTGGAAAAACTCAGATATGCTTGTCAGGTACCTACATTTAAATATGACGATTTACTCTGATAAATTAATATTAAAACTAACGAAACTAATATAGATACCAGAGTGTGAACTGATGCAAATGGTAACACTTATCTATAGCCTCTAAGATTTTATTTATTTTTTCAATTTGTTGTCAATATCAGCCGATATTTTTTTTTAAATATCCACAGCTGTTGTTAATATCAAAACTATTTACAATATATATATACAATACTTCACTACTTCAGTCTTAGTCATAGTATATTAAGATTGAAATGATAAATGGTTATATTATAGATATTATAAGCGTTCAATTGTTATGTATTCGACATAAGATTGTGGGTAGTAGGTATACCCATTAAATGTCTTGAAAATTGATAATTTGAATTTAAAAATAAATTTGGGGGAGATTTTTGATTCCTCTTGGTCTCATTACGGACCATATGGTTATGCCTAGTTAGTTTAGGTGATTACTCAATTGTGTTTATTTTTATTTATTTATTAGTAATTTTTATTTATATTTGTTATTCACTTATTTATTTTTACCTACCTATATTTTATAATTTAATGATACTATGTTAAAAATAAATGTTGACTGTAAATTCTAAAACAAACAACAAAAGCTATTTCATTTTCAAAAATGCAATTCTTCTATCATCCGATATAATATCCTTGTTCGTACCATATAGGCTATATTGTAAAATAAATTAGCAATTTGATAAAATATCAGGAAAATGCATTTTTTAATTGCACCCTGCAGTAAACAAATATTGGAGTATGTGTGTATTAATTTTAAACATAAAAATAAACAGTAAACTCGAAGGTTGTATTTTAATGTTTGAATAATTCCTTTTTATTAAACGGTTTCGAAATGAATGCGATTTTCCGCTCTAGTTATAAAAGGCATTTTTATTATTTAACAACAAACCAAAAGAAGACATTAAACCTATTCTAAGCCAATATCTATTCTCATTTCGAATGGAAACATTGAGAACTATTAAAGAGGTACTCTTCAGTCTTCTGTATACTGTGTAATTACAAATTACTCATTACACACACACAATAGTACAATACACACACCTGGAAACTACCTTCTATTTGTCTGTATATAGAGATAGGTAGGTAACCAGAGACAAACGTCTTTTATGCGTTGAACTAAATAAAGCCCGTAGGCTGTAGGTGCCATGCCTTGGCTGTTATTAGTGTTATTATTATTCCAATAAACAAGTAAATGGTACCCGAGGGTGCCGACCGCGACTTATAAGTATGTCAACATATGACCGAGGTAAAAAACATATACCTGATTTCCTGATCTGTTTTTTTCCTTTTAAACATTATATTCATTTTAACAATTTTATACAGTGTATCATGTAACTTTCATTTTATGTAAATAAACTTGACAAAAGTTTTGTGGAACATTGAACAAACATTTGTTTTTATTATTAATCTACGTAACATCTTTTATCGGTTGATTACCATTAATTATTTTAAAGCAAACACAATTACATAAATGAAATTTTTCACTATAATACATTGACTTTAAAAAGAAACTTAGTATATCAGGAAATCATCATCATATTTATGAATCAGATTTTCAAACAAAATAATAATTTATACCTTGAAAATAATACAGAACTTTAATAAACCTTTATAGCGTGGTTGAAACTAAAAATGATTTTAATGATACGTCATTAATCATCATTCATTATTATAAATTCACAATCATGAAAATTCAACAACTTGTGTATAGGTAGAATATGGAAGATGAATTGGAATCCTAGTTGTGCACGATATTCGAAATAATAACAGGCTGCATGAATGCATGATTATTATTATATGTGCATCTCTGAGCCATGGATAATTGGTGTTACTTGATACGCCGACTGATGTCTGTGGCCTGACTGGAATATATTCTTGTTTATCCTGTGTGGTATACCTACAGGCGTCATCTATAAAATGGTATCTCCCATAGCGTCAGTCTCCTATGGTTTCTTGGCGCCTTATTTGTACGAAAAAAAATATTTATTTTATTCATTCTCAAAAATATTATGAACTGTGGCGCCAGCGTTCAGCACTGACTAACAAACAAGTACAAATAATCTTGAAAAAATGTTGTGATCCATTTATCCCCATCGTCGTATCGCTCTCCATAAGGCACCACACGCGCGTCTATGTTTAACGGATTTATAGGTACCTAATCATACAACAATCTCTGAATCATAATACAGTTTTTAGTTTTGTAATTCACACAAAAGAGTGTGATTAACGAAAATGATTATATTTTAAATCCTTGAAACTATTTATACATTTTTTGAAAATGCGGACAAGTGTATAAGTGTATACGAATAAGAGGGTGTGGGTTGTTTATATATTTATTATGAAATAGTGAAATACAAGTAACTTTATGTGCTATAAATTTGTATCATTATATATTATAAAATATTAGAAAGTTGACTTTTGAACAATTGTCAGTCGTTATGGGTAAAAATAAACTACTGAATATCTTTGAATCATAAATTACTGTATCATTTTATAAAACCACCGAAAATATTACTTTATAAATTAATTTTTGAATTTCATATGAATTGTTAAACACCCTTGAATAGATAAATACTTGTGATATGTAATAGATGTCAATGCATTAAAACTAGTGCTTGAATGCAATTTAATACGGGTTATAAATTTAACTCGAGTAGCAGTCTAGTCAAATGTGATAGAAACTATTATAGGACATTGAGACTTCAAACAAATAGTTGTATTTTATAGTTTGTTTCACCAAGGTTAGTCTATACCTATTTCATATTTGAATGAATAGTTCTAAAAATCCATTTATAATATATTTATCTTCGGAAGGATTAGATAAAATTACATTTTTATGTATTAATCTATTATATGTATTCTATTGTCAATTTGTCTATACTCTATGGATATAAGTATAAAATCGTTGGTACCACAATATAAATTTATTTAATATTCATATTGTATTTAGTTAAATTATAAACATTTTGAGAAAACCAAATGGTCGATTTATTACTTTAATGGGTACACAAAAAGACAATTTACTACTCTATAATTGTAACATTATACTTTATTCTATAATGATACATTATATATGAGTAAAATAATACAAATTATAATTTGAATGATGACCACCCAAGATTTAAAAAACCCTACTTAGTATGAACCTTGCTTATAAATGTAGATAGCCAATAGCCATGTAGCTACCTAAAGGCTTTCTTAGTTTTTACTGCATGTTTTTGGAATCTCTGTCTAGACATACTTAGATGAGTTATTTCATAACCATTTAGTAGGATTTGCTTAAATGTAAAAGTTAATGACTATAGTATTTTGTAAACAAAACATAAAGTACAAAATTAATATTTTTATTTGATTGTTCATTATATTAATTAAAAGATAAACTTATTTTTGTTTGAATAAATAATAAAAATAATCATCGTAATCATCATCACAAACGTAGAACATAGTAAATTTACGTTAAGCAGAAATAATGTTTTGTTGTTAGTTTTAACTGATGAATTTAAATGTTCTATATTATTTTGTACAGTAGTATTATAATGTTGCCTGACGGAGACTACACAGCGGGTGATGACGTCCTCTTAGCATATCTATTATTTATTTTTGGTAATTGGTATAATACGGTAACAACCAACATTTATGTAGATTTGACGCACATATTATACTAAATATTTGAACATATTTTAGTGTATCTAGTCGTTATAATAATATTACTAAAGAAAGCGTATATTATTTATTTTTAAATGCATATTTTACATTTTATCTCAATATAGTAACCCAATGGCCTATAAGCTCCAGGAAAGTAACTAGTTTAATCTCAAGTTATCCACACAAATAATTATAAATATAAAACATTGTATGGAAATAAACGAAAGTAATCAAAAA